ATTCTTTATATTAAATTGAGTAATGCATAAAATCGAAGAATTTAGAAAAATGACAATTAATATATTGAGATATCAAGTCTTGTATTCGAGATATGAATTTTGCATGAGTTCGTATTCAATTAATGGCTGGCAAGAAAAATGGCAGTGGATCGTAAATATGGATCTGGGATATATTGTTTTGTGAGCTTTGCTTATATCCGTAAAAATAAGATTCAACAATGCACGGGGAGAGATAAAGTTTCCCGGAAAAATCCAGTAAAGGATTCCTCACGACGAGACACAAATTTGCGGGATCCAAGCGGGATTTCGAGAACATTCTCCAGTTGAAGTCTTGCGCGTCTCCGAATTTTGGTACTCGACAGACTGTAAAATTGAAATATCGACCTGCACTATCAAAACACTATCGCAGCTAAATCTTTTATTTCCCTTATTCTCTGTATTATGGAGTTTTCTTTAAAACAGCAGAGATTTTCAGAAAAATTAGTTTATATTAAATCCCTCTTTTGCAATTAGCATCAAATCCAGATTTATGTTGTGAATCTAATTATTGCTGAGAAAATCTTAATATAATTTTTCATGTCGAAAGATACGTTTAACTTTCGAATGCGAATAATAAACACGATCGGGAATAAACTCCCCCGGTTTTTCATCCCGCAAAAGAAATACAGAAATTCTCGCGTGGAAATTTTGAAGAGAGAGTGGCTCCCGTCGTCGAAACGGGAATCGTTTACCGCGTCTAAGTTTCCGCTAGGAATCCATTTAAGCCTTTCTGAGGAGAACGCGAGCGGGATCTAGCCGGCACCAAAGAAGATCCTCGTACCTGTCCCCCGGCTTTCGCGATTCGACGGGCCGTAAAATTGGGATATCGACCGATCGCGGGGGAAGGGCCACAGCGAAGAAAATTCCTACCGCTGTCGATTTAGGCGTTCACCTGGGACCAGCTGCGTTTCGCGACACCAATAACGTTAAGCAAATACAGGAACTTTCGGCGGAACGGTGAACGTAACGCTCTTGCGATATTATTGAAACGATATCATATAATTCTGACGCGCGATTCGGGTATCATTCTGAAAATATCACGCTCGAATTATTTCGCGCTTGCCGAGTAAGAATTAACGCGCACGTGCGCGTGTAGCCGCGTGCAATGTGAAAACAGGGCAAGATGCGGTATAAATGTATAGAGAAGGAAATAACGTTCCAATTAAATTATGTAATTAGGAAAATGAGTTGTCGCGCGCGATAATAACACTTAATATTCGCTCTGATATGTATAAATCGCGCGAAATAATGCACGATTACACAAATTGCTCAATTGGAGAAATTAACTCTGTTGATGTACGAATTGGCAGTGAATTTTCTCTGCAATGTTCTAAATTGCAAAAAATAATAATCTCATAAATGCATTGAAACGGCGGTGAAAGGACGGTTTAATTGAGAGATGCACGTCAATCCGAACGTTCCGAGATGAGACTGCTATTATATCAGACTTGATCCGTTTCGATTTATCTTTAATGAAGCGCTGCGTGATAAATCCGTATTTTGCTTGGTCCGCCCGAGAGAATAAGCTCCCTCGCGAACATTGGCCTTGCCAAAATTTTATAGCCCTATAAAATCGAGCGTTTATTGAGCATTAGAGAACACAAGAAATATTCTGTAGCGTTGTGCGTTATGAATACGTGTATTCCTAGTCCCGGAAGAAAATCTCTGGCACGATTTTTGTTTCGTCGAGATACTTTGAGCTCTGAGCTAACTGTTTACTGTTTATCATTCTTACTTAATCAAACTTTTAACAGAACAACCTTATGCGACTAGGATTTTAGTATCTAATCGTTCTTAATATAAGCAATAGTAGACACAATAAACTGTTGTTTATTATCATTTCCGACGATTCTCTCACCGCGCGCGTAAATATGTCCAATCGGGGGGAAAAACGACACGTGGTGTGTTCTTGGCACTTCGGGCCTCTGAATACGTAGGCCCATAATTTTCCGCGAATGGATCCACCATGAATGTGTTACGCATACAGGCACAAAGATATTCGGCTGAATATCGCTCGAACACCGGTAGCGACGTTTATGCGCGTTGCAGAGCGCGTCCCTCTCGCGAACTCGTAAATTATTACGGCCAATAAATAACGCTCGGGTCGATGAGCGATAGCGATCAAAAGGAAACCGTCTAGTGATATATGTGTATCCTGCGCACCCTGCGGGGGTTGGTTGCTCCTTCCATCTCTTAATCCAGACATACGCGCGTTGGCGTGTGTCTGTGTGGGTTGTGTGATGCATTATGTATATGTGTTAAGCACATGTTAACGTGTGTGTCGGTGATGTGATATGTGCGGCGAGGCCAGTCGCGTTCATCCTCTTTCGTTTTCTCACTAAAGCACGCTTTCATTTATTTCCGTTAATCACTCGCCTTCTTCGAAAGTCGGCCGTCTTCGGTGACTTTGCGACTTTACGCGTTGCACCGAGAAAAAAAATAACCCCCGTCTCTGTGAATAGAATCAATTTAATAATTCGAGCGAGATTGAATGTGCCATCTCGACTCGTCTTGTTACTGAAATTTGTACAAAATTTGAACGATTGAAGGTGTCTTTCGGAATGTAACTCCGTAAATTTGTGCAAGTTCATCACGCAAGTTCCGCTCGAGAGAACAATCAATCGACGATAGGAAACTTGGCGCTTAACCGGTAGTTAACTTATACTTTCAAGGTAAAGAATCAAAGAACGGGGAAGATGGCCACTTTGGAAGACCGGCGAGAGTAGTCGCGCCTTAGATACTATAATATCACACCTACTTTCATTCTTGAAGTCAAACTTCGCGTCTCCACTTCGGGTCACACACAACGTATCTCCCTGCTCGCCCTGCATAATTTTTTTTTCTCCTCCTCGCGGCCGCACGAACTTCGCTTCACTTTCTCTGTCTCGCACTTTGCTCTCACGCGCGCACTCTCTTACTTTCCTGTCACGCTTGCTCGTCTCTTTTTATAGCGTCCTCTCCGGAAGAGCGGTCGAATGGACCGACCTTTCGCGGAGTATCCTCTTTCTCTCCCCAAAACTTTCATTCCTTTCTTCGCGCCCGTACGTTCGCACACACTCGCTTCTCGTGACCAAACGCCCTTTGTCGCCGGCACCGGAGACACGTGAAACAGCCTTGCACACTCGGCGAAGTGAGAATCCGTCGGACGTTCGTACGTGACGCGTGTAAGGATCGTCAGATATTTCGCGTCAAATATTGCGCGTCCATTTCTAATGAAAATTTTATGCAGTTTTACGACGAAACAAAATAATCGCGGACGAGAATATAGCTTTATCCGCAGAATGCGTCCGCGCCGCGTGACCGATTACACGAGTACGTTTTTATAAAAGAATTCGGGAAAAATACGGAAAATTGAATTGTTAATTGGAAATTTCCGCCGAGCACGCGAATGCTCTGGACTGATAATAAAATATTGGTGTACTAATTTTGAATTCAACATTATATGTTTTCATTACGGCGATGCGAAAACGTATCGCTTTGGATTGGATTTTCGACGTTATTTAGTCATTATTCATGCCGCACCGGCGGCATACAAATTGTTTTTTGTCGAAATAATCACGAATTTAAACTTGTACGCGATCCTCTGTAAGAGAGCCTCTCTCTTTCAATAAAATTATTATTCGTACGTATATAACTGCGCAACCGCGCATTTGCAATTTTGTGTGCAATGTGAGATATCCGAATTATTAATCCCGTTTCTGTTGATGTCGGCACTGGCAAATCCATTTATCGATTTATACGTAATTCGCGTTTCGCCGTGTGGCGTAGTGACTTATACGCGTTTCGGTAGTTAATCTCACGCGTGTCGTAAAACGGAATTTGCACGCGCCGCGCCAGAATTTATATCTCCACGGTACGACATGCATGTTATATGAAGTACGGCTAGTACTGTCTAAACCCCCACGACGGCAATTGTCGGAGTGTAAAATGGAACATGGACTTTATTACGAAAATACAGTCAAACGTCGAATTAAGCACGACCTTCCAAGTTTACATTAAATTTTACTTAACCGACGGAAAAACATGAAATCTTAATGCGAATTTAAAGTGAATACGTGGTTAAAGACTATAAATTCTAACGAATTGTCGAATAATAATAATAATAATAATAATAATAATAATAATAATAATAATTTATTATTCGACAATTTTGTGATCGCATCATCTGATCTGTGACACTTACTAGCAGTAAAATGTTAAAACTTGAATGAGAAATTAATGACGACTGCAAGCCGTAATCGAAGGGGACTTTAAAATCTTCTGGATCTGGAACTAGTTAAAAAGATTGGGAGTTAAATATGATAAGGAGAAATCGAAGGGAGATAGAGAAAGAGAAAGAGAAAGAGAGTAAGGAACCGCCACGAAAATTACGGGGAAACTTTCAACTAAGTACATTAACACTGGAGAATACTGATCTAAAAAGTTGCTTAAAATATGCGAAGGTGCGTTCATCCAACTATTTTCTACTAAAATTACCGCCGTGGTACAATATTGACCTCAAAATAATTCCTCCACTTTTTCTATAAAATCATATGCATATTATAATCTCAACGCGATACTGAATAAGAAAGTTACATATATATGAAACTAATATAACAATATATTTTTTAGTAATTAAATAATTAACGTAATCATAATTAACAGAAATTTATTTTTGTATAATCGCTACAATCGTCTCATCTCAACGAAATTTTTTCACGTGTCTCTTTACGTCTCATTGGTTATCTGCCGACAAGCAAATGCACGACAGCAGTGTATCGCCGAACGTGAAAGCGTGGTTGGGACCGAGAAAGCGATGCCGATCGACCGGATTAATCGCTTACCGTCGCTTAATCGCTAAAGCCTAACTTTATATTTAAGGATCGGACAACTGACACTGAACCTGTCGCGCGTTTCTAGGGCGTGCGCCGCAGTGTAATTCCCATTCGAGGGGGGCCGACTCACGCGAGGGGGCCGTTAGGTCACGTTGTGAGCAGAAGGAGCGCGAGGATCGCCGACAGCAGCGGTGAGAGGAGGCCGGCGCGGACGCTGCGTGCGGCCGCGTGCATGTCGCCGGAGCTGAGCCTCTGGTTGTTCACGTACGCCTTCATCACCTTGCGCTCGACCGTGTCCACGTGCGAACCGACCTCGGCGGTGCATTTGATCATGGCGGATCCGGTGGCGAAGTGCCGTGGCTCGACCTCCAATCGCAGCCCCAGGCTGTTGGGGATGGTTTTGTCCTTGTTGGGCGAAAACGGCGGGTGCTGGACAATGTTCTCGAGTGATACCTGCAACGAACACGATTGAAGCGGTTTAATGAAGAGCGATCTCCGATGACGTATAGAGATTGGAGACTGGTTCGCGAAATTCCTTCTCTCCATGGGAATAATCGAAACGGATGATTATATGTTGGGAAATTCTCCATGTTTAATTTGTATGATTATGTCAAAAAAAAGGAAAGGATTAAAAATTGATTTGAGAAATTTCCCTTTAATTATGCTTCTTTACGCAATCGCACGATCAATTTCGACAATTGCCAATTCAAATGTTGCCCCTTTTCGATGTACATTAGGAAGCGTATTATATGCGAACGTTAAATGTACCCGATGGTGCGACGGGTAATAAGAGGAAAATTCCGCTGAAAGTCGACACACCGCGAATCGTTTGTTACGTACCGGGCTGCGCCGAAAGAAAAGCGGCGGCTGGACGCGGCGCAGCCGCGAATGAGAAACGAGCTCGCGCTGAAATTTTTGTCTCGTGCGCTGCGTTAAAGGCGAGCGTTTCTTTCGGGGCCGCGGACGGGGCTGCGAGGCCGAGAGGGCGAGAAAAATTGGGCTACGTTCGCTTTAATTTCTGACGGCGGCGGATAAATTCGCGTGTCAGATCATTTCTCCGTTCCCGTTAACCGAATTTTTTCGACCATTATTTGCGACTTCCTATTTTATGCGGCGCATTGTTCCTCGTCGCGGCACGGCGGCGGTACCCGTCGGCTATTGTGCGGATCCGAGAAAATAATCGCTTGCAATTTCGAGTACCCCGCGGCTCCTGATACACAGTCGCATCTTAATCTCGCGGTAATTAAGCATCTCGAGTATCTCGACGATTACACTTAAAATTCTAATCAGAGAGTTTTCGTTATTCCTAAATAATTAATGACTATAAAATTCCGCCGAGCGTTATAGGGAGATTTATGTCTTCCTACTCAGGATTTTCTTTCAGCCTCAATGAACGAACTTTCATAGAAATATGAAGATAGTTTTCCTCAAGTTCGCCGCTCCGACGCGATATCGTTAGGGAAGTTTCGAAAGACTTGGACAGATCATAGGATCGTCCGCGAAACGCTGCGGGACGCATACATATGCAGCGGAGGACGATCAGCGGGCGTTTGGCTTTAAGCGTTCGACGTTAACCATAAGCCGTGGTACGAGCCATGTAACTAATCGAACTATAGCACATTGGACCGAGCCAAACTATCGTCCTCGCTTTGTGGCCGAGGCTCGCCGACTCCGCCGAAGTTAAAGCCCCCCTCCCTCCCTCCCCCCCAGTCCATGGAGAACTACTACTGTTCGTAGATAATGCCTGGGGTCCACGGACCGTCTTACTTACCAATAACTTCCGCATACTGAAACCGAGAATAATGGACGTTGCACGACACGGAATTTCGGTGTATAAAGCGCCCGCGCGACGCTCGCCAGATGATTATCGCTCTCATCCCTTTTCGCGCGAGTAAAAATTACATCCGCGACGAACGTTGTTTTGCAAAATAACTGAAATACACGCGATGCTGATTGATATCGTAGTAACGAAAGAATTCATCGAAACACATTTTGCGCTGTGAAACTTGCATCATCGTTGTTTTCCCCTTGTTTCTCCCCACCCCCTCTCACTCTTTCTCTCTCTTTTTCGAAAAATACCAGTTACGCTGGAAAGTTGCATTTTGCCGCTGTATCCATACCGATCGTGTCGGGTTTATTGATGCATTACACTGTTTTGTATTTTGCATTTTGCGCAACGTCGTGCACACCCGAATCTCTAATGCGTCGGGGAGGAGGGGGAGGAGGATGAGGAGGGGGGAGGAACTTTAACAAATGTGCCAAAGCTGTTTCAATCGAATTTTATTGGCCCTGGCATCCTTTTGATTTATACGTTATTACGTTTTATTGCGATACCGCCCGGGCACCCGGGGCTTTTTGAAGAGCGCTTTGTATTTTACGCGAACGTAATGACTATATAAAATGTTACAGCGTGATGCGCGCGCGCATGTGCGCTTATAAATTTCGACTCTATTAAGTCCGGCCTTTTGTACGCGCATATTTATGTTACGGGAATTAATTTTGCGAGTTCTTTAACTCCCTAATGAATTAATTACTGATAACAAACGCACAATAAACTAATAATGAACGGCTTAAAATTATTAAGCGCCGCTGATTACACACCCGTACACACCTTACATTATTTACAGCTCCCGCTTTGTTTCATCTGAAAATCGTCTTTTTCCCAGCGCTAATTACCGGCGCAAAATATATAGTACCGTTTAATTAAATTCGCATCTCCCGCGTCCGCGTTAAAATTTCACTCCGACATAATGTACGCGCGCGCCGCATATCGTGAAAAAAAGTGTCGGCGCTAATTACCCGAATCCCTTCGTATCGTGAAAATCGCGAGCTTGATTTCGCGGGGAGGCGCGACCGGTCGCTCGAGTTCTCGTTCGATTGTCGGAGGCGACGCGGCGGCCACGAGACAGGAAGATGATGATAATTGTAATTGGCAATAGATTTCGGTGGATGTTTGACGGCGGTCCCCCCCTTCTTCCTCCTCCATAAACCTTCAGAAGGCAGTCATTATCGACGACGGGGAGTTAATCGTCAGGGTGCGTTGACTCGCGCGGGGCAATATTTCAAGGCCGTTGTGTCGAGGCCGCATCGCATCGCATTGGGAGTTCGGCTCGGCGACGATTGCCCGATGCGACGTCATATCGATGATTTATGCACGTCCGTATGGATACCGGAAGATCATTGTTCGTCGCCCGCGCGCACGGTGCTCCGCGCCTCTACGCCGCGCCGCTACCGCGCCGTTCCGCTCGTTGCATTGTACGCCCGCCTTTTCACCCCGCGAATGGGCGCGCGCGCGCGCTTGTCTCTGTACGAACAATGTTTGCCGCGGGGCCGCGGCCATAAGGGCGATTTGCCCGCAATTTCTGAAGGATCCCCATTGTGCGATCGCCGATCGTGACCGGAATCCCGGCGCGGTCGGGCGCGCCCGCGACAATGGGAAACGATTGGGAAACCGTATGTGCAATATGCATTCCCGCGAGGGAAACACGGAATCCTCCCTTCCGCGCCCTGCATGCCAGGAATTTTTCGGTCGCGCGCGCTTTCCCGGCGTATCCAGGATATTCGTACGTGACGAAGGAAAAACGAGGATACATCTCTCGGTTACCTTTCCTCCGCGCGTTATCATGCAGCTGCAAATTGACAAATTCAATTTTTCTCCGAGCGACATAATTTCGCGAGGACCGTCACATTGTAATTTCTAAACACCTTTTGAATGACTTAAAAGAAAAAAAAACAGTACTAATGTTTTAATTGAAACCGTTATTCTTCTCAGTCGGGAAAAAATACGTTTCTACGGTTAATAACGAGTATGTGCAAAACAATATTTTATTATTACAAATATTTTATACATACGGTCGTGCATTGTCGGCGCTAAATGGATGAGAAAACGCCAGGAAAATGGGATTTATGCCGCTCTCGTTTGCACGTATTTCTCGACGGTGCGAACGACAACTTTCAGTGACGACGAGAAGTATACGTGAGAATAATGAAGCTTGCGGTGCCGCCGTGTGTGTGTGTGTGTGCCGGACCGGCATACGACCGCGTGCGCGCGCGTGTAATTATATTTTTTGAAATAATTCTGTCCACATGAGGAATTTGTATTCGCCAGCTGGCTAAGAACAGTGTAAATCCTCATTTCCGGTGCGCGGACATTGGGTAACATATAATAGAGGCTCTGTGTGCCACGCGTAAGCGCACACATATTTTTGAAACAAAGTTTTCTTTTGAAAAATTATTCCAGGATATCTCGCAGTTTAATTATGCACCGTTTTTCCCCGCTCCACCTTCCCTCCCCCTCCATTTTTAGCGACGTTGTTCGTTTTCGCGAGCGAGAATCGCGAGATGTTGCGGAATTAACCAATTTTCGTTCCCTTCTTGAATCTTAATCTTTATTTACGAGGATTATGAGCGCTGGCGGCAAAACTCGCGCGAAAAATAATATTAGCCGGGACTTCCTCTCTCTCTCTCGTAAAGGAAGATTTCTCGTCGTATCACTTTACGCTGGCTCTGCGCGCGCGCGGAGTTAGCGTTTTACCTGGGCGAGGCCCCGGGAAAATAATGTAACTCCACCGTAACATTGTTTTGGATGGGTTACATGATACGAGAGGCAAAGGCGGAATTCAAAATAACAACGGGGGAACAACTCTCCCGCCTTGGGATATAGCTTGTAGCTGATGTTAAAACAACGTTTCCGTAATATCTGCTTTAACGGCGCCTCCGGGTTACATCGCGTGAATTGCAACGACGCGCTCGCGCGGCACGGCGTGGTGCACGGTTTTCTTTCGGTTGCTTTGTACCCGCGTTTCTTAATGCCAACGTAGCCGTGGCGTTTCCGAGAATAATCTAGACTTTATGAGCGCATGCCCGATGGCGGGGGCCTTGTACGCGCGCAGGTAACAAAGGTTGCAACTTCTCTGCCGCTGAAAGATACGAATCAGAATCCGAAATGCACGCGCATGCAAACGCATCGCAGCGGAGCTCGCGAAAGGCTGACGTTAAAATTAAAATTACCCCGCGTTTGAGACAGCGGAATGTCGTTAATAATAATGTGTCCGATATTTGAACTTTTCTTTTAGACCACACGAACCAGACACGGTGATTCTTATAGATTTTTCGTCGCTGAAAACGAATCCGCTAATGAAACTGCTCCATCGTGTCATATTTTTAAGAAAGTTGAATTTGAAAGTGCCAGATATTTTTGAGCAAAAAATACCTCCAAAATGTAACGTAATAAGCAATTCTGCAAATAAATTCGTTGTCTACGCTGAAAGATCTATAAAAGTCGCCCATTATGTTCGTTTGTGTTGCTTTATGCAGAAATATTATCGGCAGCTATCGATAAATTAAAAGAAGGAAGTGTAAACTTATAGGTATAAAATAGAATTTTTTCAGGAGGGTAATTTTTCGTCATTCCATTTGTTGTAAAAAAAATACGAAATTTTAAAAAATTCGAC